GATTCCAAATATGTACCCTATACTACCAATTTTCTAAATTATTGAAGTGAAGTTATTGGTAATTGAATCTTGCTTCCTAGTACTTACAACTTTTGATGGCTAAGAAGGATATTCCTAATATTACTTTTCATATACCATTTAGTTTGTACAAGTTGAACAAGGCTTTAATAATTTTTCAATAGATAATGGATAAGGTTCTTTGTGATATGCCTTAATACATTTTAAGAGGATGTAGAAAGAGCATATCCATGATATTCATAAAGTGTTGGATTGGATGTAGAAAGTTTGTTTAAAGTTGAAGTGGTTAAAGTATGTATTTCAATCTAAAGATACGATTTATCTTAAGTACCACAGTTCTTGTGAAGATTTGTCAGTTGATCTTGACAAACCTATAACTATTCTAAAGTTTCTTATTCGAAAGTATGTGAATCATGTGTAATACTTCTTTCATAAAGTGTAATATCTTAATTAAATTATTGATCATCTTTCTGTTTATACTACACCATTGCGAGCATTGATGAAGTCATCTAAGCAAGTTTGAAAACTATGAGTAAGCATTTGTAAATCTTAAAGAGGTGGTAATAACTGTAAATAACTAAAGAGAATGACTCGAGAAATAGTCCATAGGGTTTAAATATAGAGGGAAAGGGCCCATGAATAAGAGGGCACCTCCTTTTCCAATCGATTTTGGGATACTTAGGGTTAAGTGTTTTTGGGTTTGAATACTACTAGGTTGGATGATCTCATGAGAAGTTTAAATTCAGGAACTTACATTTGGTATCAGAGGGGTCTCGAGTCCGACTCTATTAGTTGGCTAGGGGAATCGCACCACAAGTTGATTGATATCTTGTTAGTCCAGTTTGTTCCCACTGGGCTCAACCCGAAATAGTTTTGAAAAACTTCATATGTATTTATATGGTTCTTGAATGTTGTTAGAGGGTTATTATAATGTTGTCACTTCATTATTGAAATGAAAGAGTACAACTCAATGGGTTTTAAAGCTTTAGATATATAATTTTAAGGTTATTAATCACTCAAAGAGTTTTATAGTTGATGGTTACACCTTTTCTCGAGTTTATTTTCCTTCTTGGCTCTCTTTTCATATTTCTAATGAGTCTGTATTTTAGCATTAATGGATTTTCTAGCTGAAAATTATGTGTGATTGGACTGGCTGCAAATAATTATAAGGATAAAGTTCATCCTCATGACAATATTAAGAATGTAAATGCCATCACATAGCCTTTGGATCTTGTGTTTTCCTACATAAGTGAGCAAAAGGGAAGTTGTAGTCTATAGAGGCTAAATATATTGAATTCATGGTTTAACCCTTTAAGCCTCACAAATATTACATCTTATGGATGTTATATATTAAATATAGCAATTGTGTTTTCTCCATACTTACTACAACTCTCTTATTTTATATGAATATATAGGACATCATAATGTGGCACAAGTCTTTTTATTAGCTGGAGATGCAACATAATGTTATTTAGTATGTGCCAAGTTTATAATACCCCCCCCCCCCCCCTCCCCCCCCCCCTTTCTGTACTATAGAAGGATAATTGAAGTTAATTGTAATTTCCTATTTATTTGACCTTGTGGCATTTGATTTGATGGGGCCCTTTTTATATGATTATAATCTAATATTGTTAACAAGGTTAAGTTTACCTTTTGCAACTACCATAAGTTGCTAATACTAAGTCCTAGGATTACTATTTGATAGGCATTCTTCCATTAGTTCAAGTAAAGTTTACTAAACATTTATGTTGCATACAAGTGGAACAACAACACAATAACTTTCATTATCATACATTTATGTAAATGAATTTAGTGTTGATTCATTTTCCCAATCTTATAGTATATAATTTATTTAAGGGGTTTTTTACTTAGTGGAAGGGACTATATCATGTGTTCTAGCAAATTGAACTATAAGTTTATGGAGTTTGGCATAACATTCAATAAACTAATCCTCCAAAAATTATGTATATATAATAGCTTAAATGCTTCATGGAAAAGAATTAATAACAAATTGCACTACCTACAAATCCACCATTGCCTCTTTTAATATTCATTTAAATCCTAGACCATCAACCTAAAGACTTTAATTGCCTTCCATATTTCCAAGAAGAGGGGATGATATAAAGTCTATGATGCAGTGGTAATTTGATTGCCATCAAATTGGTTTCAATCAAGACCACTTATTTTTGTATATAAGCTAAGGTTTTTGGGTATTGGATATGCATATTTTTTTATCCCATTTCTAAATTCCATACACTAGCACCATTATAATATTAGAAAAATTATTTTAAATTTAGAAATTAAAAATAAGAAAAGAGAAATGATGCCATATCCTATTACTAGCATAGTTGGATTTTGATACCTGTTAAATTAGTTTTGATATGAACCATTTTCCTATATTTAAATTAGGGTAGAAAAAGCTAATTTCATTATCACTTATTCAAATCCATTTAAAGATTATTTGTGTTGGTAATAATCAATCATAAAGACTAATGAGGGTCCAGTTCAAAACCACTAGTTAGCCTGATAATTAAAAATTAAATAGAAAGTATGAACAACCCAAGTTACAATAAAGTGCAGCAGCTTTCAATTAGGCACAAGCTGAAATGTAAGCCTTCTCTTCCTTGACCTTCCCTTGCTCCCTATGCTTCATACTAATAGAGATAGCTGAGAACTTTTGGAGGGCCTCATTTGATTTACTTAGATCATGAGATCTGGTATTAAATTGCAAGGGCTAAAGTGATCTAGGGAAGTGGTTAGGCATCAAGTATAGAAATCATCAACTTATATGCTTTGCATGCTTTGAATAGGATCTTTTCATGTAATGCATCTTTGAACTTTTCTTTTATGGACTTTTGTTCTTTGTTTATGTGCATGTGTGTGACTCTTAGGTTGCTGTAAACTCCAATATATCCAAATGTTTAGAAGGATCAACCTAGCTTCCAAAGTGTTTACTCTAAAGGGTTTACTTCCTAATTAAGGTCTAAAGTAATTTAAAATATGGTACTCAATACATGCATCTTGGTCTTTTTATATATGTCAAGTAAGCAAGTTTCTCCCTAACCATAACAGCATATCCTGCAAGAATCCATAGTCTTTTATCTAGTGATTTGAGGAGTATTAAAAAGCAACTTTAATGCAAACATAAAGGAGATGTTGGAAATGGGTGTTATTCGGAAGTCGTGGAGTCCTTGGGCAGATGAAATCAAAACTCTTCATCTTCATTTCTAACTGCTTTTCTAGGCAAATTTGTGATTGTGTAAATGGATTTTATATTTAACATAGATATTATTTGTACAAAATAAATATATCAAAAGAATTAATTTCCATAATCATTTATATATAGAAAGAACACCAAAGGTTGTCACATACTATACCAAATTATTCTAGAATTTTTCTAATAGTTCAAATAGTTATTACAGTAGTGATGTTGATTAATAACAACAATTGGGATGCATATTTTTTATCAAATTCATTCTCATTTTTATTTTCTAAAATTAAAAAAAGTCCCATTTGAACGTTATATTATATTATTAACCAGATCATCTCAATTATAAAAAGAATATTGTAATAAGTGTTCAATTTTGTTCATTTGAGGTGAATGCTTGTGGCAAGGTGGAGGCAATTGCAATGCAACCCAGGGAAATATCAATCATGGCAAGTTCATCTTTCTCAAGGATAAGCTATGTTCTTTGATGTTTTTGATTTGGAGATAAACTCATGAGTTACTTTCGTAATGTGCATTGAGGTCTGGTAATCCAAACATAATTGTCACAATTGACGGTTTGATTTTACTTTGAATTCAAAGATCCAGATTTTTTTGGCATTCTTAATCCATGTGGACTGTAGATACACACATAAATTTATATAATTTGCTCTCAGAGAGAGAGAGAGAGAGCTAGCTCCTGTATTTACAAGCATCTTTGAATCCATAGGCCAAACTTTTTGGTAGAAAGCTTTTAAATGGAGATAGCCCTTCGAAAAAGGAAATACCTCACTCTAGTATAGTCGGACGGTCCGGCATTATCCCATCCCTCCAAGGCAGATCGCAAATGCGTCGGTACTTTTCCGGCTTGATAGACTTTGCCTTAGCCACGACCTCCTTCCACTGTCGCAACACTTTCCCCTCGTCGCCAAACAGCTCGCGCAAGCCCTCACTCACGTAAGAATCAATCCCTTCGATGGATACTTCCTCACTTGTGAGCACCTCCACCACTTCATACGGCTGTGGATGGCCCTTGATGGCATCGTAGCCGCAGAAACTCTCCCGGGGAATCACCTGTATGTGTGTGAGAGAGAGACGCAATGCAAACAAGGGAGTAGGGAGCGTGAGCTTACATGCATTGGCTGGCCTCGCAGCACCACTGGAAGGGCCCGAGAGATAGCATGGTGGACACCCCACCACGAGTTGAAGACGAGAGTGATCGGGTAGAAGATAGAACCGGTGAGGAAAGAAACGCAACCTTCCAGCACTTGCTCACTCGACCCGCTTGCTATCTGCACTGGCTCGCTCTCCCACTGGAGCAGCGTGGGATTGTCGGAGACGAGCTGCTGCATGCCACCCGCATCCACGCCCAGCATCAAGCACAGATCTGGGCCGGAGCGCGGCGTAGCATAAGCCGACGCAGCGACGGATCCAGCAAGCGCAGCCACTGCTCCATGCTGCGACAGCCACGCCGTGAAACCCAACGCCGCATCGACTTGATGATGCCCGTACCACAGGCATTGTGCATCAGACCATTCGGTTACTCATCAGCGCTCCTGGCGCCAGATTTTTGTTGGCGACCAGCACCCCAGCTCCTCAAGCGACATCTCCAGTGCACTTCCTTGGGGACGAACTTGGGTTTGCTGCTTTGCGGCTGCGTAGCGCAGCGGCCATGATGCCAACATCACGCCAGCTTGAATTTTGTGAGGCTTGTGTGCTAGGAAAACGTGAGCTCGGCAGTCAGCTCAGCTTTTTCCTGAGAGTGACTAAGGAGGGTTCTTGCGGCATGGCTTCGTCACGGTGCGCGCCCCTGCCCCTTCTGAGCGGATGCTCATCGCTGTCACGAAGCAAGGTAAGCCTCTGGGCCTTTCATCTGTCTGCCATCTTCTGTTCCTCCAGCTCCCGTTGGATCTGCTCGCGGCTCCTGCTACGATTCACTTCCACACCCTGCACGGCCCGCGCTCCATCGGAGGTCGAGGAAGGGAGCCGATCCTGCCGTTTTGCGCTCGTCCACGAGTGGAAGCAATGGGCAAGGTTCCGGACCCTCCACGAGTGGAAGCAATGCCCGAGGCCGACAAGGTTCCGGACCCTCCACACCGCAAGCTTCCGGACCCGCGACTGCTGAAGGAGGTCCTTGGCATCCTGGAGACTTGGAATCAGGGGTGTTGTCGCCGGATCCTATGCCGCCATGGCACACTCTGTCTGGAGGACGAGCAAAGACATGGATATGAACATCTCTCTCCAGACGAGCGAGACTGAGCGGTTCCAAAAGATGGTGGATGAAGTGCAAGATACGCACTGGGTAGAGCGCTTGTCGGGCCCTTTTTATATTTTCTCTGCCTTGTCTTATTTGTTTTTGTCTGTTGACTTCTTCGATACGTGGTGGGGATCGGCTGAGGCCATTGAAAGCTCAACCTTCAAAGCTATCCCCGAACCAGGAGTTCCACCGGAGCAAGCTGTGGTGCTCCCTGTAATCCCCCCCGAGTCAATCTGCCTTTTCAAAACCATCAGCCTCGATTTCAACAGGCGTCGTGGTCGAAAGGATCGAACCGACATCTTCAATATTCTGAAGTGCGCCTCTCCGTCCGAGCGCCAGCGGATCAACGACTACCTGGGCAAAATCATTCCCAACAAAGCTCTCTGGCGCGAAGTCATGGTGGAGGCTGTAGGCTGTTGAGCCATAGGTACGGGTTTCTTTGCTTTTGTGCATTTTCCATCGAGCTCAACCACTGCTCTCAGGTAGCCCGAGGAGCACAGCGTCCTCCCTTCTCGTTTTGAAGCATGCAGAGACGTCGATCCGCACCTTTTCTTTTTGTTCCATCTTGTAGAAATGCTCCTGCGGAAATGCGCAAGTTCATTTTGCAATGATCTCTGGCTCCGCGCTCCTCTTGACAGATTCAAAGGTGACGAACTGGCTCGGAGGGGAGGACGTTCCAGTCTCGAGGACACAAGGTTGTTCCACTACTGCCGCTCCAAGATCCAAAACAGGTGAGCTCAACCAAATAGGTGATGTTTTTTGAGAAGCAATTTGTTTGAGATCCACTTCTATGAATGAGTTTATGGATGTTTCATGAATGGCAGAACGAAATTAGTTTCACAATTGCATCTTTGTCATTTTTATTTTAAAAGTGAAAGAGAAAACCTTCAACATCCACTAATGTGGCATTGGTACCAGAGTGGTCTACATCAACAAAAAGGAGCTGGCAGCGGTGTTGTCTACCTAGTGCGAGCGTCCCACGCCTTGACAAGCTCCAGCAGCGCACTCTGTTCGTCTCGGTTGGATGGTAGCACTCTAGGAAGCGCTGGCGTGGACTCACACGCGAACATCGCGTTGTAGAGAGCAAGTTCCTGCCAGGAACCACGTCAAGTCAGTCGAGGGGGGAGGGTAAAGGGAGAGGGAGAGGGGAGAGCCACCTTTGATCCAGCAGTAATCTTCACTTGCACATGAATCCTTTGTTCACCACTGCACTCCTCCTCGGGCTCCGTCCGCATGACGAACGCTTCCAGCTGCACAGAAGTCCCGAGCTTGGCCTGGACGCACAGAGGATTAGCACCAGGAAGGAACAAAGAAGTCAAGCTCACTCACCCCCTCCAAGAACTTGACGTGATATATGTGCTTGAGCCGTGGTCTACTGCGGCCGTGGCCAAAGCGCGCGGCAAAGCCATATGCAGTGCACATGGCCAGCCCACAAGCTTCAGCCAAGAGCTCCCCCCCAAACACTGATCCCTGCGAGTTGAGCTGCTGAGGCTCCACCACAAAACACGTTTGGTGTCGAGTCCTCTGGATCAAGACAGCACTAGCATCATCCTTGCTTCCCGCCGCCAGCAGTTGCCGCCCCTCGTCGAGCATGCATCCCACAAGTTGCTGCCAGGCTCCAGGCGCGGCGTGATGATCGTGGTGATTATCCACATCCACGCGTCTGGCTTCAAGAGCGTTCACCCGCGCTGGCTTGCCAGTTATCCTGTCGCGGGCCACGAAGACGAGGCCAGCCTCCAGGGCAGTAGCTTGGTGCTGCACAGCTTGGATGTGAACGTGGAGGGAGCTGCGGCCGGCTCGTTGCACTGTGCCAATGAGCTCCACGTCCACATCGAACAGGAGCGGCTTGTGGATGACCAGGCCATCCAAGAGTACCGTCAAGAACACAAGCGGCCTCGAGGTACCTTCGTCTCCGAGGCAATGCTGCAGCACAGCCAAATTAGCGGTAGCTTGGAAGAGAGATAGATATGGCGATCTCACCTTGCGGCAGACGTGCCCTCCCAGGCAATCCATATCTTTGAGCAGCCTCGCCATGCTAATCTCCTGCATGTGGTCCTGGTAGTGGAGCTGGAGGAGCCTGTCCGTGGCCAAGGGGAAGTGGACGCTCACACGCCCGTCTTGCACTGATCGCCGCGGCAACGAGAGCTGGGAGGCGGCCAGCGAGTCGAGGCGAGTGAAACAACCGTCGCCTCCTTCCCCGCCACCCTCAGCAGGCCAGTTGATGAGTCCCAGCGAGTCGCGAGCTGCGGGCCTGGAAGCCAGCCACTTCCACTGCTCCACGGTCACGGGGGATACGTACAGACTGCCTGGGAACAGCGCCATCGGCATCTTCTGCTGGTAATGCTGCTGGCGCTGCCGTGGCGGCGGCGGCGGCGGGGGCACCAACAGCGCCGGATGACTTACCTCCTGTATGCTCCCCGCCATCACCGGTTTAGGGCCGACCACAAAGCTGGATGGTTATTCATTGAAGGGTTACAAGAAGTTCCCTATCCCTCCATTGACAAGCTCACCGCTTTCTCCGCTTCCTCTCGGGCAGTCAGATCTCACGCTAGCGCGCCGGGCATGATCCTGGCCAGATTGAATTTCGATATAAGCATGAGTCGCTCGCTACCAGTGAGCGGAAAGAAAACAAAAAATCTCGAGCTTGATGCTTGCCTGATATTTTCTTGTGGTGGCTCCGGCTCACTCACTGAGCAAAATCCTTTGTTACCCCCTTGGAAGAGAACAAAGACATACTTTGCCGATTGTGTAGAGATCGCTGTTGGTGTTCCCCTGAAAAACCAAGGACAAAAATAAAATAAAATAAGAGCTGTCGAGGGACATCCAAGCCGCTCGAATGCAACTGCCTGGAATAGTTACATCCAAGCCGTCTAAATGCAGCTGGATGTCCGGATGTTAACGGAATTTCCCGAGGCGTGCTCATGAGCTCTATGGTCTGGCCGTGACAACAAGCACACTCCACCTTTGTGTTTGATCCCCGAGACGATGCCATCGCAAGAACGTGGGAAAGTGTTGCACGCTTTGGCATTAGTGACCTGTGCGCACTCCCCACGATGCTGATCGCGGGCATGAAGTACCCCATCCCCACGGGCTCTTTGGGAACACTCAAACGTATCTTCTACGGGGGCGATGCATTCCCTGAGCGACAGGAGATCGAGTCTCACCTGGCACCCGTGCGCCTGGTACAGCAATACGGGATGACGGAGTGCGGCCAGATTTCCATGGGAACCACGGCAAACGCGGGCTACCTCCTTCCAGGGATCGAGGCGAAGGTCGAGTTCAACGGTGTGAAGCTTTACCCCGGAGAGCAGGGCCGTCTCTGGGTGAGGGGAGACGGCGTGGTCACTACTGTGCGTGGCAAGGATAGGTTTGCGGACACGGGGGACATTGGATTTTTCGACTCGGACAACCGGCTCCACCTAGTTGGACGTGAAAAGGACATCACCAAGGTCAAATGCAATCAGGTTCCGTGCTAGCTGCTGGAGGCCATCGCGCTCCAGTGTCCGGGAGTCCGAGAGGTTGCAGTTGTGGGCAAACCAGAGCGAACCTACGGTCACGTTCCCGTGGCATTTGTCGTCATGGATCCACCCAGGGATGCCAACGCCATCATTGCCTTCGTCGGGAAGCTTGCACCAGAGTGGTACATGCCGATTCACGACGTCATCTTCGTCCCCGAGCTGCCAAGGACGCCCATCACTGCCAAAGTCATAGCGTACACTGTTGAAAACCATACAAAATGCAAAGGAAAAAGAAATTGAACAAAGGATTCATGTGCAAGTGAGCACGTCCTTACTCTCTACAGCGCGACGTTGGTCCACTCCAGCGCTTCCTAGAACCGAGACGAGCAAAGTGAGCCGGTGGAGCTTCTCACGCTCGCACTCGGTAGAGAACATCGCTGCAAGCGCCTTTTTGTATGCGCTCAGCTCAACGCCAGGACACTTCCCAACGTGCCTCCAAACTCTCCGACCGATTCAGTCTCCATAACGCTGCGCACCTTGAGCACCATCTCCTCGCCTCTTTCCGTCACCGCCAGCAGCGCCTAAGGGACAGTCTGCTGGATGGCTCATGCTCGATCTGAGAAAGATCGCGATGAATGAGAGAGCGGCGATCACAAGAAACTTATGTTCAGGACATCGTTTAATCAAACAGGTTTGCAGTGCTGCTCCGGGGAACGAACTGGTGCTGGAGCGGTAAAGATTGCTGTCGACATGGTTGGCGAAAGGCTTGTGGACCAGCGCCTTTTTACCATTAGTTTTTTTATTTCGATGACCGTTGAAATAGGTTTTTGGAGGCGGAATTAAAATGTAGATAATCTAATTTTATACCTTACAACCTTGAACAATTAATTTTAGGTCGAAAATGGTAATGATAACCACTTTATTGCTTGTGCTTAACTAAGAACACACACAAACAAATGGGGGAGAAGATCATTTGGAAAGTTTTCAAAGATGATTATATGTTGTACCTTGGTCACCCCAAAACCTCACTTGGACTAATCATAAGCATATAGAATATTGCTTCTCCAAGTGGAGGTCCTCCTAGCATCACTCATAAATATCATATAATCATTGACTACAGCTCCACTGGGAAAAGAATTATCACAAATAGTTGGAAATTTTTTTGACTAGAATCCAGAGCTAATCCCAGTCACCACCACTGATCATCATCTCAAGAACACAGTGTTTAGTTTCAAAGATTCCAAAGATGTGTTAAATTTTTAACTATCAAAGCACAAATAAAAGTGTATCTATTTAGATAATAAGCGCATAATAATAAGTATAACAAAATTTTATTCTTCGCTCAAAATTTCAATTATGGAAAAATTACTCTATAATACCTAATATTTTTTAATAGCACTATAGAATCTTTAATAATGTTTTTTTTTGTTATGTGTGTAAATACACAATGTTTTAACATGCTCTATTTGAGTGAAATATTATAATTCCAACTTCACAATGCTATAGATGGCATGGTTCTACCAACAAGGAAAATCTAATGTACTATCAAAGTTTATTTATTATCCATCAACTTTTCTTGTAAAGGGTGATTCTTATGTTTTTGAATTTTTCTCAGGTTCTTTACAGCTTAGATCAAGATGCTCCACCACCTCCTAGTAGTGATCGAGAATAGTTTGAGACAATCATGTGCCACTACTCAAGCCTCGTCTACTATCATAATTTTCTTGTGCATCGTGGTGAGGTAGATTTTATTCCAATTGTCAAGCTTGGACATATTGTCCTCACCTTATGGCAATGACTCATCCCTATTGCCTTTTTTTCATCCTTTCTCCCTCATTGCATCCCGATGTGCTTCATATGCTTTCTTCTTCACCTGCTAAGTACCACACAGCATGTTACCTGACACCCACCATCTAACAAAAACGTTGCGTAAAGCAGTGTCAAAGCTGTCCGATCCCTTGTTACCAATGTAGACACAGTAGGATCGGAGTGGAGAGACAGTGGGTAATCACGTGGAAACATTTGTTTTCTCTTTTCATTGTGGGAACATATGTTTTTTTAGGGAAGGCTGAGTAGCACTGGGATGTGGTGCAATTTGTTCCTGATACTCTATTTTCTTTTATCTATAACAAGTCTAGCTCCTCTGTTTATGTAAATTGAAACCATTACCTTATTGTTAAATGCCCAACTTGCATTTATATTTTCCACACTATTAGACTTTCATACGCAGATCATAACCACCATTCTGGGTGATTCAACAATAGCCACACTGACAAGTAGATCTAGAACAATAGCTTGATCTCATTCAAGAGATACACAAGGCCGTCTGGAGCTAGTCCCCTTGCCACTGACTGTAAAAACATCTATCTTTATATATGATATACATTATGATATTAATTACAGATTATTCTAATCTATATAACTTCACTTATTTATGTTGAGTCTACATCTTGATGAGCTTTGATATACAGCTACTAAATTTTAAGATTATTAAAAAAGAAATTAAAATTTCGTTAAAAGTGTAACACTATCAAAAAGATCTCTAGTATAAAAAATATATATGACCACTATATCAAACTATAAAAGTGTGACAAAGTATGCATTCTATTCCATATCTTAGGATTCAATAATTAACATTAAACTTAGTATGTCTATGGTTGTTAAAATGTGTGTAGGGAAACTACTTTATAACCAAAAAAGATCATATATTTTTTTTACTAGAGATCTTTTTGATAGTGTTACACTTTTAACTAATTTTTAATTTCTTTTTTAATAATCTTGAAATTTAGTTAGCACAATTGCCATGTCAAAAAAATCCAGTGTTTCACTCCAGGACAAAACACATTGATATCCAACATCACTTTGTTTGGGAGACAACAGATGGTGAAATCAACTCAATCTACACACCAACGCACAATCAGGTAGCACATATTTTCACAAAGGCACTTGGAGAATCCAAGTTTTTCAAGCTCAGACATAAGTTCAATCCAAGTTTTTCAAGCTTAAACATAAGTTCAGAGTCCGAGCTTGAAGGTCAAGTTGGTTGCTATTTGTATTAGGTTTTGTCAGTGTTTTATATACAAGTTTCTTGTTTCTTGTGTTGAGCTGAAGCTCTGCCTTTCTCGTTTCACTCCCGGATGCGAACTCCAGCCCGTGGTTGAACTTTTTGACGAGTTCTACTTGATAATGGCAGCGGCCTTAGCACCTCTCGGAAGCCTTTCCATCCCAGGTAGAGTCTTCTTATGAATGTTTCCACTAGACAGCTCAGTGTTTGTTTATTTTTTCTAGACAAGCACCACATGAGCGAATGGGAGCGAGACGTAAAGCAACTGCGTGCTGCATTCGAGAAACTCGAGGATGTGGTTGCGGAAGCTGTGTCGTTGCGTCAAAAGCTACCAGAGGCGTCGGAGCCGCTGCTGAGTTCGATCTTTCGCTGCACAGAGGTAGACAAACAAACGCGAACCCGAAGCTATGTTCTTGTAAAAGTTCTCAGCTGATCATTGTTTTCCTTTGCCAGGGAGTAGCATCATCATCAGCGCCCTTGCTCTCATACAGGGACCGAGAGAGGGTAGCGGAAAAGCTGTTTACCTCGCAGAGCGTGAGCGAGACGTGGGAGGAGAGCCTGCAAATGGGCAACTTCTTAAACGGGCTCTGCAGGGACGTGCTCCTGCCTTGCTACGAGAAGGAAGCGGTGGTGGTGGCAGCAAGAACAAGACCAAAAGGAGATCCAGCTCGCCCATCTACATGTTTAGATCCCGTTGGTAGTGTCACAGTTTTAACAATAGTGGTCACTATTTTTGTGTGGTCAATTATAACAATGTCGGATGGTAAACTTCTACGCGGGTGATAAAATGTGGATTCAATGACAAAATTCTGCTGATTTATCTATAGTTTCTTCAAGGGCCTTGAACTTTCGCAATGTTCGCGGCTGGTTTGTACAAGGCTATGCAGGAACCCGTGGAGAATGGCCTCTCTGAAGAAGCCGTGAAAAGTCTGGCTAACTTCTACCGAGGCGTTATCGAAAGGTACGTTGCGAACTGGATATGGACAGCCTTGCTAACTTGCAAACTTCTAAGGAGGGGATGCTTGGTCCAGATTAACAAGAAAACCTCGCTTTTGACAAAGCTAGTCTTTGTTTGCAACTTCACCTTGATTCTGGAGATCAAAAAGTTATTATGTTAGATTTTGAAAATAATGGCCTTGGGAATCCCTTACTTTTCTTTCCTTTGTTGCCGGTGGTGTTCTTCCTGCTTTTCCGTTGCTATTGATAATTCCCGGTGATCCTAATGAAATGCCTCGAGATTTTCTCGCTCTGCTTGGCAACGATGCCGACTGGAAGGGCGTGGCAGCAGCAGTGCCAAGGAAAAACAGGAGGGGTGATATCTCCGTTTCCAGAGCAGGAGAAGCCTAGAAAAAACCTTTCGAGTGACTGCAGCGTTGAGTTTATCAAGCATGAGGTATTTATAGTGTTTCTAAATCACTTTCAATGCCTTCCTTCCACTGCTTAAGCGGCGGCCTCAAATCCTCCAGCGACGAAATCCCTTCGAGCAGCGGCAGTAGCTTGATCAAATTCTTCTCGCGCTCTTCCTCCTCCATGCTCCACTCCGAAAAGGGCACAACCGCCAAGCCATTCTCCTCATTGCCCGCAAACGCGAGTGGATTGTCGTCTATGGCCACCACTCTTCTCAAATCCTTTCCCAAAATCTCCAGCGGCTTGGTGCCCCGGACGCAAGAATCATTGTAGAGGCGGCGCGCGACATTCACTTTGAGAATGTGGTCGATGATCCGATCCGCGCGCTCCCGGTTGCCGGATGTGAACACGACGATCTCGTAGAGCTTGCTTACTCTGGCCAGGAATTCATCCAGCCCCGGCCGCTTGGTCGCCCTTCCACATACCAGCGTGTTGTCGATGTCCAGCACAAGCGTCGGCTTGGAGCTCTCCATACCGCTACCCTAAAAATTTAAGCCTTGATTCTAGGGCATATCCGTTTTTCTTCTTCCTCTTGAGAGCTTTGGCAATGGCAAAGGCGCAGGTTTTGGGAGCTGGAAAGTACGGAACCGTGTACGCCGCAGGAGAATCGATGGCGCTCAAGGTCGGAAAGGCGGTGGCGGCCTTGGATTACGAGTATTCCACTCTCGAAAAGATTTCGCTAGCTTGGAGCGCCAAACAAGATCGGGGAGTCTCGGTACCGCGGCCGCTGGGTGTTTTCGTGTCGGCAGAGAATTTCGCGACGGCGGAGGGCGGGCAGGCTTTGATCCAGGGAGAAATCGTCGCCGACAAGGATGAGCCGTGTTTTCTCATGGACCGCGTATTTCCGTTGCCTGTTGGGACGCTGGCGCTGAGGGTTTGACGACTGGGCCGCCCAAGATTTGCAAGCTCTACCTCTGCGGACGCGAGTTTCCGATAATGGATCCAAGCCCGCGCTCTAAGTACGGGTTCGCTAGCGCGCAAGGTTCTTGAACGGGTTCTCGAGCGTTCCAAGTGATTTTTAGGGTTCTAACGGACACTTAGAGGTGAGATAAGCCACTTGACACTGAGAAAAATTCATAGTTTCGAAACTTCGAACTGGCAATGTAGAAATTGTGTATAGCTCGCTAGAAGAAATCTCCACTAATATCCGGAATGAAAAATTCATAGCTTTGGAACTTCGCGTTTTCCCGACGATTCCTGTTAACTTGCCACTGCTGGCGACGGCCCGTTTGCGTGATTTGGAGCGTTATTGTTGTTGGAGCTGCTGCTGTTGCTGTAGTAGCCTCTACCGCGACGATTTCCTCCACTTCCATAGTAGCTATTGCGTTGGTAGTAGCCACTCTGATCGTAGTACTGACCACCACCGTTCCCTGCGTTACCACCGCCTCGGTTACCATTTGCCGGTGCGTAGTTACCGCCGCCGCGATAGCCTCTACCGCCACCACGGCCACGTCCACGAGGATAGTTAGCACCACCGCCACCGCCAACGTTACCACCGCCGCCGCCACGGTTTCCTCTAAACTTCTGCTGGAATCCTTGTTGCGGTTGATGTTGGCGAGGAGTGGTTTCATCGGGTTGTCGTTGGTCCTCGGCTGGCTGGGCTTCCTCGTGAGGCAAGCTCTTGATTGGATTCACGTCCAGCTAGAAAAACCATAAATCTCAGCCTCTAAAACATGAAAGATGAAGCTAAACCTGAAAGGCCTCGGAATTGGCCCCGGAGCTGTCGGAGACGTTTTCGGTGGGAGCATCGCCATTCACGTAGTGTTCCTGAGGGACCTGAAAGTTATGCGAACTATAAGCTTCCAAGGTTGAAAACTTTACCCCAAGCTCGGGTCCAAACTGTCCCACTGCGATCTCTGATGTTACAGTCTGCAGCTCAGGCGTCATGGTGAAGTACTCGGTCGCCAATATCCTGTTTAGTCTGTCTCGCAGCTCAGTGTCTATGAGAAAAACAAGAACAAAGTTAAGGAAAAACACGAAGAGAAAAACACGAGAGCCAGTGGATACATGTCACGTTGAGGATGTTGGCATCGATGATCGCGTCCGAGTTGAGCAGCCAGTGTCTCGCATGAGCGATACAGGCCTGGAGAGCGTCCCGGTGCGATAGCGTCGTGTTTGGCGGCCGAGAAGTCATGAGCGATCCAAACGCAGCCAGGGCGTCCAAGTCGGCGTCGGTGAGATGCGAAGTGGAATCATCGGTGACGAGATCGTAGGACAGGCACGAAACTCTCTCGTGGTACTTGACAGTCCGCATGAACGAGTGAGCCTCCCCCTGGGACTGGACGTCGAAGAGAAGCGCAAAGTAGAGGAGCTGGATGAGCTCCAGCATGAGATGCTCGTCCACAGCAACGCTGCCACTGTCAACCGGAACTTCGATCTTCTCGTTCTCCTCGGTAGCAGCAGCGGGAGTAGCAGTAGCAGCAGCGGCAAAGGCAGGATCACCACCACCACCACCAACATTGTCAGCCTCGCCACTACCAGCATTCTCCAGGTTTTCATTGCTGGCCTCCTCCGACTCGGTTCTGGCCTCCTCCAAGTTCTCGCTGGAAGCCACTCCAGAAACTTGCTCCTCCTTGGCAGCAATCCATTCCTTCTCCTTCTCGGCAATCTCCTCCCTCACCGCGACGAGCAAAGGTTGCCGGAGGCGATCATACTCCTCCATCAGCGTCAGCACCTGGACCTTGCTCTTGAGAACATCCTCCTGCTCCTTGTTGATAGCCTTGCCTTTCTCCTTGGCCTCCTCGAGCTGGACGATTCGATTGTACTTCTTCTTCAGCGCTCGCAGCCGCTTGTTCATCATCGTCAACACCGGCCCATCCTTTCCACAGCTCGAATCCTCCACACCACTTACATCTAGAGCTGCCATCTCTCTCTCTCCCTCCCCCTTTTACTTTTCCTTCTACAAACTAAGAAAAGACCTCGTTAGAATGGAAGAACCTCACAGCTCACAGCTCCATCTCCTCTCTCGAGATTTCGCTCGCTCGCTCGCTCGCCCGCCCTAAATCGAAGACCAGACCTTCCAAACAGTGGCGAAAGCGAGGAGAATCCGCGCGCCGAGCTCGCGCCGAGAGCCGCGCCCTTGCAATGCCGCCGCTCTCGCACAGAGGATGAGGAACGACGGAACCCTAAAAATTTGTGACGCCCAATTTTTTGGAGGGGGGGATATACCCGAATCATCCTAATTCGCTTAGCTCGTGTGGTTATCAAAGAATATTCATCGCATCGTATTTACACAGGCAAGCCACAGGGGAAAAAATTCAAGCAAGAAATAAAAATCACGAACCTCTGTGATGTAAAACTTGAGCTTGAGCTGGGCTTGCTTCTCCCGCCAGTTTTTTTTTACTCAGTTTTTTTCTCTCGGTTTTTCTTTGTTTTTCTTCTTTTTTTTGCCAGTTTTTTTTCTCCAATACATATTTTTTTCATCTTTTTTCTTTCCTATCGATTATCCTTTTTTTTCCTAGTACCTGCTTTCGAGCAACAATGGAGAGATAAATAGATCAATAGTAAGGCCTGTATCGCATGGGCCTCCGGAATCGAGGAACTTTTCTGGAGATCACAGAAGCAAGGGCGTGAGTGATAGATCGAGCAAAGGTTTGCAACTACGTACCCAAAGCCGTAAGGATATGGATAGGATGGGTAAGGCATGTAAGGCCTTCTCGGGAAGTAAGGCATGTAAGGAGCTCCAAAGCCGCCACGGCCGCGGTGCTGCTTGAGTCCAGGAACATTAGTCCGCTTAGCAGCAACCTGTGAACAATCCGAGTGAGTAAAAGGAGATACCAAAACACCGACGGAAATCCTTGCCTTGATAGGCCGACCGTGAAGCTCTGATTCGTTTAGTATGAGAGCGTTCTGGACAGCTTCGACTTCCAGGAACTCGACATAGGCAAATCTGTAAGCAGAGAAACGATCATCAGCATTAGAACCGGCACAGGGAAACGTTTTTGCGAAGATTTACCCCTTGGGCTGTCCGAACTTGTCAGTTAGAATAGTAACCCGGTTAACAGTGCCACAGGATTGAAAGTGTTGTTGGACTTCCTCTGGTGTGCACGAATAATCCACCTAAGAACATACCACTCACTAAGTTCCAAGGCAACGAGAAGAGAAGAAAAGAAGACTTACGTTTCCAACATACACCGAGCGAGCATCGGCTTCTTCCTTGCTCGCTTGTTGGGCAGCAGCAGCCGGATCTACAAACACACAAACACAAGAACACAAAATAAGCGACACAAAATCCACGAAGTTACACCAAGTTTGATCGAAAAATCTCACCTTGCCCAGCGCCCATTTCTTTCTCGACCTTGGCTTGCATATCACGCAATGCAGCGGCCTCGTCCTCCATTTCCTTGAGGCGTTTCTTCATCTCTTCCAGCTCCTGGAACAATCGCAATGAGCAATCGATTCATCCATACCCTAGGAAGGCGCTGAGCTTACCGTGGAGGTGGGATCGTCGCCGCCCGCATCGTCGCCTTGGTCGCCCTCGAGATCGCCCTCCACTTCCTCTGGAATCTCGCCGCCATAGACCTCGTGCTCGTCCTCCACTCCATGTGTCGCCTCCATTGCCCTAGCCCTTTAGCTCACTGTCTGCTTCTAGGGTTATATAAGCTACTTTACTTTCATTTGCTCTTGCATCGCAGCCGTCCATTCCCCCCACACATCTACAACCGTTGGATGCTTTTCATTTCTCTGGAAGAACCCTAAATTGCTATGGATATTGGCGCTCGTGGGAACGAGCTCATCGCTGGCGCTGCAAATCGAGGTAGGGATTGCGGCCAGCGCGACCAGCGATCGCAAGCTGGAATTCGAGGCCGGAGGATGGGAATTGCTGCTAGAGATATGAGATTGCGGCTTCTGATGGAACAGATGCACGATTCTCCTCCGAGGAAGGACGGATTTTCATCTTCCAGCACCGGCATTGGATTGAGATCTCTCGATTTGCTGCGCGGTTGCTTTCTTCGCCAGTTGGCAGCTCTAGCCACATCTATATTTCTGGTTTTCACAACGATCCCGAGCTTTCGAAGAGGGCCAAGAAGATTTCCAGAGCTCGTTCATCCGCATTTGGCTTCCATTAGAACACAGGTGCCGCGAGAAAAAAATCTGGAAGTTTCTCATCGCTCACACAGGCATGCGGAGGATAGATTCTCGAGGAAGATCGAACTTCGAAACTCCAAGAACAAACTTTTCGGCGCAAGCCTGGTGGACATGACAATCCAAAGAGCTCCCGAGTATGGATCCGTTCTACAAGTCCCAAATCCTCGAAGCTGGAATTGCTGGGTATCCGATCAAGCTCACGTCCTCAGTCGCTCCACCGTCGAGCATCTCAACTCGGTTATCGATGCGTTGAAGTTCGACACTGGTGCTGAAGTTACGGTAGTGACGATCAAGAGCACCAACTTACCAGCCGAAGAGTTTGCTTCCTGTCTTTATAAGAGATGGAACATCGAAGATGAGTCTCAGGGAAGGGGCCTATTGTTCTTGCTGGTTACTTCGGAGGGGAGGCTAGAAGTAGAACTTGGCTGGAACATATCGAAACTTCTCAAAGGGGATGGTACAGTCGCGGGGAGTTTATGGGATCCAGAGAAAACAGGATGGCTGAGATCAGTTGTGAGGAACAAAGTTTTGTCGGAACTCAAGCGAGGGAAGTATGACAAGGGCGTAGTTTTTGCGGTGGAGGAAGTGGCAGAGAAAGTCTGGGAAAGTGCTGGATTTGGAGCTTCAAGTCTAGCAAGTGGAAAATGGTGGAAAGTTGTGGATCTAGCCTGCTTGAGTGTGATCCCTGTCCTCGCGTTGTTTGTGAAGCTCACAAGCATTGCTGGTGCTCCCAAAAATCAACAGGATTGCCATCCGAGAACAACTAGCCGATTCTTCAGGTTCGTCAATCTTTCGCGGTACTGTTCTTCTTTTGCTCGACACTTGATTTCCTCCTAAACAGGAACTTGGAGATTTAAACTCGTCGGCAATGAAGTGATGAGTTATTCATTCGAAGTAAGCAAACTTTACGCATTGACAACTTTGAGTCCAAGCTCACAGGCATTCCTGACAGTATGAACAACTAGCCGAATCTCCAGGTTCGCCAATCTTTCACGGTACTGTACTTCGTTTGCTCGACTCTCGATTTCCTCCTAAACAGGAACTTGGAGATCTAAAAGTGTCGACAATGAGGATCAGTTGGAATAAGCAAACTCTACTCGAAATTCTTTCGAGAAGCGCATTGTGAGTCTAAGCTCACAGGCAGCAAACTTTAATTGCAATTCTTTCAAGAGCGAGCTTTCCAGGCCAGGAACTTTCAGAAGTTATACGAACAGAGCTGACAAATTCGCCGTCCCGGGTCAATCGTTCCATCGATTGAGTAAAGTCGTCAACAAAGAAACGATAGATACTCATGCTTTGAGCTCGCAACATCTGACTTCTACATTGAAATGTTTCGAAGCGATGGACTTTCGCTCGGAGACGTCGGATGACATGCGCGGACGGTCCAGATTCGCACCACCTGGATCACCAAAAAACAATGCGCGAAAGTCGTAAGCTCGCCATCTAACTCCTTTATTGTTGACGCTGATGTTTGGTGGTATAGCTTGCAGGCAAGGAACTGTATTAAATCCGCAAGGCGTCGAATCGAAAGCAATCCAATCTACAGGACTCTCCTCCTCGTATTAAAATTTTGGGACGTCGAGACTTTTGGTGTTGCGTGTTGCGAGTTGCGGTATGTTTTTCCTATCTCGCGAATCGTTCTCATCGACTTGCTCGCAGGCAGGCAACAAACATTCAAAGGTTCGCGCATTGACTATAGGCGGAAAGGAGAAAAAAACACACACACAGTCTTATTAGAAGATTTATTCAAGAAGCACTCGAGAACAGCGAGGAAGAGCTGTCCATTTCTCTTTCGGTGAGGCGCCAACGATTTGTGGAAGCTCTTACACACAGGCAAGTTGTTTGATAGATTTCTTTTTCTTCTTCTCTTTCTTTATCCATCTGTTTTGTTCTTCACACGTTGCTCGTGGTTTACCGGCTGTTCTTGAGTGATTTCCCTGCTTTCTATTCTCACAAGGTCTGTTTTGTTGCTCGATTCAGGCGCCCAATGCGCCGCCGTGGGCGACTGTCGCATCAAAATCGCTTCTTGGCATCGTTTTCTCGGACCCTTTAAGCAGATCTCCTCAGTGCTGCGCTTTGCGAACGCTAGGAGATCTCTCCTCTCTCAATCAAGATGATGCAAGCAGCGTCTCCTCCTCGCCCAGCTCCGGCTCCTCTCCCAGCAGCAGATTCAAAGTACTCTGGAATCGTCCCAAGGCTCTACAATTCCTTCGGAGGAAACGATCGATCCTACTACGTGAAGCTGCGAAACGACGATGAAGATGTGGGCTTCCTCGGCAAGAAGAAATCCAAGAAGAAGAGGCCAGCGATTCGAATGGGCAGCAGGAGGAAGACCAGGTTTGCCGCTATGCCCAGGAAGATGAGATTTCGAATTCGTCTGGCGAGGCCCAAGATTCGTCTGGGATTTCTATCCTCTTTGCTCTCGCCCATCAAGCTCTTGAGGCGGCTCCGCGATGCCTATGTCAACATGATGCTGTCGCTGGCTTCAAAGGGGGATTTTAGCGGCGCTGTCATGGGCAACACGATGTATATCCCGAGTGGGCAGCCGTATAGGATTCCAATTGGGGGAGTCGACTCCAGGAAGGAAGATGAGATCCTGGCATACATCGATTATCTCCGGCGGAGCGGGAAGCTATTGCCGGATCCGGTGCTTGATAGATAGACTCTGTTTCTAGGGTTCTTGAAGAAGTTGTTTTACCTGCAAATGTAAATAAGACATTTAGTATCTTTAGAATATTCAAGTAAATTCTGGAATAATGTTAATCCAACGGTCAAGATTTCCCACTGCTATCGTTGGTTTAATGCTAAGTTCTTTATAAGTAATTTGCAAGATAAAACATACAGAAGCTTATCACCACAGCTCTTGAAAATATCAAAGAACATCCAATCTGCAGCCTCTTCCTCAATGTAGCTGACAAAGCAGTCTCTTCTTTTTTCCCAAAGTAAATCAGAAATCTGCTCGTTGCCCAACCCCGGGACAAAATCTGTGACAAAGTTTACTACATGACTGTAAAAACCAAGGAGATTGCACAGCTTATATGAAAGTACAAGACAGGGTTGCGATTGTAAGACTTGCACCATGCGCACCTTAAAGGGTCGATAAATGCCTTGGTCTAGAACAAATAGCAAATGGACTTATATGAAGATTGGGAGAAAGAAATCTTCATTACCTCCTAGCTCAGTACTTGAATAGAACAAGATGTTCGTTCAAAAATCTGGAGGCTGTCTTGAGAAGCTTGCTAACCTCTGGATGATCATTGTTATTTATGGCATTCAGATTGGACCCATTTGAAAAGAAAACCAAGAGATCACTATTACCAGATCTGATACCAAACATTAAAAGGACCTGCATAGACACTCAAATGCTTGCATTGAGAGATACGAATGCTATCTCAGGCTGGTTGTTGAAGCGCAAACTCCTATCGGCGGCATGTATCCTCAAAACCTGGAGTGTTGTGTCAAGTCTACACAAAGGTGGTGTGGACCAAAAGACCTCTCCTGATCTTCAGCTAGCAACCACACTTGAGGTGCACCTGGCTCACATCGTGGTTACTTGGATTGCTCCACATTTTGTAAGTTTGAGGCACCACCAATACCTGGGCGGTCATCACTATCCCCAAAGCTCTCACCTCTAGCATGAAGCATCCTTGGAATCCCTTTGCCTCTTGGACGCTGCTAGAAACTATGCTCATTTTTGAGTCTACAACTTGCTTTGGCAGCAGCACATTGGTCAGGTTCCTAAAGCTCACCCAAGCAATACCAGCATGTTTGAGCCTGTTGCACACTGAGTTAAGCCCGAATGCACCCTCTTGATAAACTGCCATAAACTATGAACAAGAAAATTTGTCATGACACCAAATTCGGACAAACAAAAATAGTTTATTACCTGGTAGTGTG